AATAATTAAAAGTTTTGGGGGTCAAACTGTAATTCTAAAGGGATAAATTGAAGAAATTATAAATTTGAGGGGACTGAATTGAGGAATCTGGAAAGTTTACGGCTTAATTGAAATGATTAGGGGCCGAATTGAAGAAATTAATTTGTACGGGGACTCAATTAAATGTTTAGGGGGTGAAATTGAAAGGAATAAAAGTAAAAGGGACTGGATCTAGAATAAAACCTGTCGGTTGGTCCAACAATGGGCTGAACACTGTGCAGGCTGTTTCGCAATGATTTTGGCCCCTTTTTTTGGCTAGAAATCTAGGATTTGTGTGTGAGGCATATCATTTTGTGTTTCCCCTGTATCAATTTTAAGTTTGGTGAGAGTTTTTGGAGAGAAAAATTTATTTGGGTGGTCGATGGAGCTTAGAGGAGAAATCTTCAGATTTGAAGCCATTTTGGGCAATTTTTCTCCAATTAAAGGCTTGGGTGAGGATCATCTAGTTCAGATTTGTAGTTCTTGGGTGTTGATTGGCCTAGGTGAGTGGATTAAACTCATCTTTTTTAGTTTTTAGTGTTCTAAGTTGAGTTGCAGACCCGGATGCGGAACCGGGTCTACAACCGGGCCAAGGAGATGGACTTACTGGGTTAACCCAGCTGGGCTGACTTGACTCACTGGGTCGACTTAGCTAGGCCAGGTGAGGCTTGAGCCTGGGTTGGGCACTAGGACAGGCCGGGCCGGGCATGGTTAGCTAAGTGGGCTGGGCTGGGTTGGCCTAGTGGGGTTGGGTTGAGTCCAAGGGTGAGTTGGGCTTAGGCCGGTTGGGTCAGCCCAAGTTGAGTAGGTGGGCTAGGAGTGGGTGAGTCAACTCGGTGAGTTGACTTGGCCCAGATGACTAAATCAGTGGGTTGACTCAGTGAGTCAACCTAGTCAATTGAAATTGGGATACTTATTCAAGGGGATACAGCAGAATAGGGATAAGGATTAATTAGAAATTAAATAACCAAGCTTGGGATAGGCTATCAAAAGAGAAATTAGATTTTCTCTATTGACTGAACTGGTCCAGAGACGGTTCAATGTTTGACCAACCAGTTTAGTGGTCAAATCAACTCAGATTTTTGAAGTTAGATCGGTTCTAGATTTAGGAGGAAAAGATCTATTGGACCGAGTTGGTCCGAGGGTTTGGGGAGGTTTGGTTCGACTGAAAATTGGGGGGTTTTGGTTGAACCAGTCTGGTTTAGGCTAGTTCAAGGGTTTAAGTGGCTGGTTCAGCCTTGTTTTGGGCAATTCATGACCAGTTCAGACCAGTTCCTAGGGTTTTGGGCCTATTGAATTTGATTTTAAGGGTTTCATGGCCGGTTAGTTGGTTTGAGGTAGTTTTAGACTGGTTTAAGCTGATTCGAGGTTTTGGAGGTTGATTCATTATTGTTTGAAGGGTTGTTGAGTGAGATTGATGAGTGCTAGTGAGTCATGTGAGTCTCGGTAATGGGTAGTGTTGCCTCGGGATATGTGCTAGGGTTCTAGAGTGGGATTTGAGCCAGTTTTAGGCTGTCGAGCCATTTTCTTGTGTTGGTTTTGGTGTTAATGATGATTTTGTGTGATTTTGGTTACAAATACGCTGGTGGAGGTGCACCCAGATCGTTGAGTCCGGTAAGGGTGACTCAAGACTTCCTTTTTGGCTTAGCATTAGTACAGTAAGTGATGATACTTTTTCTATGCATGTGTTCTTCATACTGTATTTTCTGGCTTGATGATTATGTGGCTTTGTAAATTGTGTTTTGGATATATGTCACACTTGGGATATGTGTTATGTGAATTGTTGACTGTCGATGAGTTATGTTGATGTGATGATTCTAGTTTTCGAGATGTGAATTGTACATGCATATCTATTTGTTTTTGACTCGTATGTGGGCTAGCATTGTGTGATGTGATTGGGGACGTCAGGAATTCGGCTAGAGTACAGTGATCTGTAGCGTCTAGTGGTGAGTCGGCCTAAGTCCCATGTGAGGCGATAGGGGCCGTTGGTATGTTGCGTACTATCATGATGTGTTTGGGATACTAGGGGCTCAACCGGCGGACGGTGGGCCGTAGTGTGCGATAAGTGCCTTGGGCTCGATGATGTGATGTGATTGAGATGCCAAAGGCTCAGTCGGCAGACGGTGGGCCGCCGTAACATGCAATGAGTGCCCTAGGCCCAATAATTTGATATGATAACTGGTTATGATAGTACCCTCACAAACATGTTTTGATATGTTACTGCTCACTGTATATATGTATATATATGTACGGTTTTAGATTTAAGATGTGATACATATCACAACATGCATAGCCTAAGTATCATCTGTACTCACTGAATTTTACGACTCACATTTTATAAACATTCCAGATTTGGATTGTGATTCTTGTCTCGTTTGGTGTGCCAGAGTTAGATCATGGATCAACGGACTAATAGATGTACAAGCATATTTATTTTGTGTCTCTTTTGCCTTATATTCTAGAGTAAGTCTTTCATATTCTCATATAGGATCTTGTATTGTGGAGATTGGATATTGTGTGATGATTTATATTTATTTAATGAGAGGAGTGCTATGGACATGGTTTGGTGTTGTGAGACTTACTAGGGTCGGTAGGCCCTAGTGCTGGTCACGGGCTTGGGGTCGGGTCATGACAAAAACCATCAAAGAAATTCAATCTAAGCCAACAAATTGGAGGATCTAATCCAAAATCCAGAAATATAATATAAAATTATCTTTTGAGCTTAATTCTAAAGGTCACCAAGGCTCACCAAACATATAGAGTAAATCCAAACGTGTCAATCGAACACATGAGGCTAGCATCACCCATGGTAGTTGAGACACAGATCAAGGTACACCAAGGTTAATGTCACTACTATTAACTACAGCATTCTGTTAATGTACCCTCCTTAAAAATCCATTAAGTTATATTTCAAATTCAAAATCACATTCCATCTATTACTAGTCAAAATTTAACAAAATTTAAAAATATAACATATTTTTCCCTAGTTTTTAATTCAATCTTATAAATTCAAATGTCTTTTGTTCTACATGCATATCAACATAAATTCAATTATTTTATAAAAACAAAAATAAATAAATAAATTTCTAAAAATTTCGTAGAATCAAAGAGTTTTATAAAAACACACAGAAATGCGTATTATTACTCACAATATGAATTAGGAATCGATGTGCTTAGGAATTACACTACTGTACAATCCTTAGCTTCAAAAGATAATTTTTCCAAAGGAACCTATATAATGAGTAATATATGATTTAGGGCTTGGGGGATTACACCATATGCAGGGGAACGGTGTGGGGGAAGGGAAAGGGAAAAGAGAAAAGAAAGAAAAGAAAAATTACAAGTTGGTCCCTCTAGTTCCCTCCCATTTCAAAATGACCTCAAAATATTTTAATTTACAAGATTAGTCATGTAAGTTTCAAAATTTTCAATTAAGCCCTAAAATTAAATTTAGGGATATTACAATTCCTCAAATTTGACCCTTCTACCAAGCTAAATCTCACTTGATAATTTGACATGAAATAGTAATTGAGCTTAAATTGAATAATTAATCTCAAATTAACTCTTTGACTGAATTAAAGCTGAAAATAGCTTCAAAGGCCAAATTTACCCTTAATTACTAAATTTTATTTGATTTCATGAAAATGCTTAAATTAAGGGAAATTTGCAATTTAAAGTATATTTTATCAAAATATATAAAAAAATATTCAATAAATTCTCATTAAAATAACTATAAATCTATGCACAAAATATGATTTATTAGTGACAGGGCAAAATTCACTCACGAAGTCAATGATGAATTACTGATGAAAAATTTTTCAGATGAAAAATTAGCAATCAATTAGATATTGAAACTTAATATGTTGCTAAGTTAGCGATTGATTGGTGATCAGTTGACAAGTACTCACAAAATAAGTAATCGATCACTAATTTAAGTTTAATATATGTCGATAAATTAGCAATGGCTTATTGATAGATCAAAAATCCCTTGCAAAACTAGTGACTATTACCAATGAAATACAATTCTGTTAAAAAATCAATCGCTAATCCATTGACAAATCTGTCAAAAGAAATTTTTGGATTTAATGTCAAAATCCATCACTGATTCGTTAGTAATTCATTGATAATTATCAACCAATTTTTCCCTCCATTGTCTTGTAGTGTTGCAGCTGTGCAACTAAAAGAAAATAAAATGTTATATTTTGCTGTTTGTTCTAATGCAATTTGGTTGTTCTTGTTCACTGTATTAGCCTTTACCAAGGTGACAAAAGCCGGTAGTTGACAAAATGACAACTTACAGTTAGGTAAGTTGTTAAGGCCACCAACTAAACATTTTGGAATCAAAACGGTTGCCTGAATAGTTAATCGCTTGCTGGCTGCGTTGCTCAACGATTAGATTTAACTCCTAGCAATTACCCACTCATAAGTTCAAACTTGCTCTGGGCGGCGATTGCTGGCTACGTTGCCCAACGATTAGATTTAACTCCTAGCAATTACCCACTCATAAGTTCAAACTTGCTCTGGGCGGGGCTTTTAGAAATGTTTAATTCTAAGATTCAGAAGCACTTCTAAATTATCTAAATGGTTTTTTGATGAGAAAAAATATAGAAGCAATTCTGAAAGTGTCGTCTCTAAAATTACATTTTGGAGAAATTAATCAAGGTGAGCCTTCAATTCATTTGATGGCTTTCAAAGAAGTCTCAATGACTTATTTGATGATGGTTTTTCTTGTTTCTATAGATAGGATTGGTAACTTAGGGTTCAATTTTGATGTTTCCATTTAAGGGTTTCATTATTTGCTTAATGAAATTCTATTTTGTTACGTTAATTAATTTAATCTCCATTTAGAATGGTGAAGATTTAGTTAAGAAATTTTGACATGCTCTTCAGTGAGATAAAACTAAATAATTTTAATAGCTGTCCAACTTATTTAATTTACAAGTACATGTTGAACCGTTTCAAGGTTTTAATAGATACCTATACTATATCGACAAAGATGAAGTGTACAAGTTTTCACTCAACCGTGGTTCTGCAAGAGCAACAAGAGGTTGAGCAAGAATGAGGTCATCCTCAGACTCACGAAGGTCGATCATGAATAGGGTGGGTGGTAAGTTCCAAGTGAAACATTGGAGGAGCCTTGCCATAAGCATGGTAGTAATAGAGGTCCCCAGAGTAACACCTGGACATCCCCTCCTTCCTATGCTGAATGACAATAGGCGCAGGTTTGGATCAGTAGATGCCACACTGGAGCTATCGTTCTGGAGGTGGCGCTCTGGCTTGAATTCTAGTGCATCCTCCCAAACCCCAGGGTTTCTCCCAAGTCCTGGACGACTTAACAGCACGTGACTGCCCTTAGGTATGAAATAGTTTGCCACAGTTGTGTCTTTCTTTGACACATGAGGAGGGTTAAAAGGTGCAAATGGATGGAGGCGGAATGCCTCTTTCACACAAGCCTTCACATAATTGAGCTTGATAAAATCTGATTCTTGAACTAGCCACTCTCTCCCTACAACTCTGTCTAGTTCCTCCACTGCTTTCTTCAGTACCTCTGGTTTATTTAACATCTCAGCAAGCGTCCATTCTACCGCATTTGAAGGATTGTCCACTGTTGCTATCATTAGTTCCTGCATGCATGCAAAAAATCTTTTATTAATGATGATTATGTAAATGATATTCAGAAAATGAAGGGAGGGAGAGGAAGAAGGAGATTAACTCACAACAATTTGTGATTTGATCTCTTGTGGTGAGAGTAGGGGACAGCCATCCGAGTCTTTGAGAGTAATAAGGACATCAAGCAAGTCCTCCTCCTCTTTCTTGCAACCATTTGCCAATTTTTTGATTCTTTCATCAACCAGAGGATCTTGATATTTGACCACAATTCCAAGGGCTGTCCTCATTATTTTCTCATGACCATCCAGGTCCGCAAGGCCACGAAAACATGGGACATAATCAGAGATGCAAAATGAGAAAAGGTATTTAAGGATGGTAAATAAGGAATTAATGTGCTCTATTTCTTCAGCACCTGGTCCCCCATCTTCCCTCCCCTCCCCAAAAAACCTTTTATTAAAAATCAATTTTCTTATCACATTCCCACAGTAGTGCCGGGCAATGACTCTAACATTTACTAAACCTGCAGTCACGGAGTTCATGCATTGGCTGTACACGTAGTGGACTAGATGATCAGCTTCTTGGGCTCTCTTGCCATGAAGCCAATGGTGTCTAGCAGGTGAGAGAACTTCGGAAGTGAGTATTTTCCTCATCTTCTTCCATTGTTCGCCTGATGGGCTGAGTATGGTTGACAAGTATCCTCTACTGACGAGGTCAGATGACATGCAAAGGGCCTTGAGGAGAAAACATCATCCTGTCTCCTCAAGAACTCGCAGGCAATATCAGGAGAAGTGACAGTGATGACATGAGTATTCCCTAAGCGGATGCACATAATCTCAAGATTCATTTCCTCCATTAGTTTGTGCAGCCACCTAAAGGTCGGCTTATTTCCGAGCATATGAAATAGGCTTCCGACGAAAGGCCACGATTTTGGCCCTGGAGGAAGTGTCAGCTGATCACCACTGCTTCGTTTGCTGCAACAATAAATTTGTTTGCCATGACGAAAGATGAAGAAGAGAATGACTAATGTGATCATAAGACTGTAGCAAAAGCTTAGGAAGATCGTTGTGGATGAAATGGCAAGGCTGGTGGCCATTTCCAACTCAAGAATTGGAAGAAAGAGGGCGCAGGCGGATCCCTAAGGAGATTAATCACAGGCAGGTTTATGGGTTGGCTGGTAGAACCACGTCTACTTGGGCTTATATACTAGTTTTGTGCTCTACCAACTCATAAATTACTTTCTACGTGTCATCATGCTTAGCGAAAATCAGCTGGTTTAATGGACGTCAACATGCTTACGTACTCCCACTTAACAGCTAACAATATTCTTAAATATTATAATAGTTAGACTAAATGTAAAGATAAAAAATATTATTTTGTCACGAATTTATAATTTCCCGTGTATTTGTCTCTAGTAAATCAATTCCTTACAACCAAAACTGCCTCCTCTCCTTCTTTTTCTTAAAATTCAATTTGTTTTCTATTGATTTCATTTTATGTTTATTTAAACCATTATCCTGTCTTCTGTTGCTTTCAATTTTTGTACCCTATTTGTCGTCATTATAGGAACGTAAAGTTGCTAATACGCCCTTCCAATAACCATGCAGATACATGCTTTCAATTTTTGTACCCTATTTGTCGTCATTATATGAACGTAAAGTTACTAATACGCCATTCTAACAACCATGCTGATGCATGCACGGATGGTTGAATTAATGTTTTAAAACACGAACTGAATCAGTTGATTTGACTGATTTAACTATGAATCGGTGTGTATTAACAGTCTGAGTGATTTTTAAAATCAGAAATAGGATTGAACTAGTTAAAATTGACCAATTTTTATTAATTTTTAAAAATTGTTTCACGCCCGACCGCGGCACCCCCACCCCCCTCTTGCAGCGCACCCCCACCCCCTCCCCCCCAACAGTTATATTTGATTCAAATCCCCTGTCCGCCCCCTCCTCCAGCTCACCTCTCTCATTTTTTTGTTGTTTAAAAATTATTTTATTTTACCTTCCCCTCCCCCCTCCCTCCCTCCCTCTCTCTCTCTCTCTCTCTCTCCCTCCCATTTTTTGTTTAATTTTTTTCATTTAACATTCCCCCACCCAGTCTCCCCTTCCTCTCTCTCTCCCCCTTCAAAATTTTCAACCACCACTTCCCCCCCACCCCTTTAAATTTTTCCCAACCGCACCCCCCCCCACCTCTCCAATTGCAAAAAAAATTTAGAAAAATATTTTATTAAAATTTTCAATATATGTTATTTAATTTAAATATTAAATTTTTTTAAAGAATATAAAATAATAAAAATTAGATTCTTAAGTTAAAAAGATTATTTCTTGAAATTTTTAACTAAAATTATAATATGTATACATACACTTTTAATTTTAAAAATGAATATATAATAATATAAAATATATTAATGTTGTTATACCAACTATAACATTGAGTATTGTATAAATTTAAATAAAATTATATACATGGGTACATTAGATTTATTAAATTTTTAATTTATTATTAACCAATTTGACTACTAGTTAAACCAGTTGAACCATGATTCAGTAATCTTATCAGTTTGATCACCGGTCCAGTTTTTAAAACATTGAGTTGAATATTATTTTAATGATAAAATTATTTAAAATTAAATGCTTCTCGTGGATTTGGTTGAATGTTATTCCAGTAATTTGGGTTAAATGGTTGAACGTTATTCTCGTAATTTGGTTTTTCACTTATAAACTAATTGTCCAGTTTCACTTTCTTTTAAATGCGTATGCTTTAGTTTGTATAAATATCATTTAGAAACCGTGTTATTTTAGGCTTTTGTCTTTTATAGATTTTTTTTTTTTGGTTATTTTCATATACCTTCTACAGCCTTTTTTTTTCTGCAATGGATAGCAAATTAAACACTTTGATCATAAAAGCTTGTTATTGATATTCAATGCATGTTTGTCCAAGCTGACATGGACAGAGAATAGCGTTATAAGATTGAAATAATACATAAATTAAAATAAAATGAAATAATACATAAAAATCTAAAGAGATAGAAAATATTAAAAAAAATTATATGATTTGATTATAAGGTTTATATCTTCGGAAGTAAGTTTATAATACTGTCATTATCACTAACATAATATATGGAATACGAATTTTTCTATAGATTACATAGACGTGATGGTATTATCCAACAATTTTAATCTTTTAACTCTTTATCTTTGTCGATTACATTGGAGCTTTCTTTCGTGCAGGAAGTTAAGAATCGTGTCCATTGAATGGCATGCAAGGATAAGATGCTCTTCCTTCGGCAACCTCCTCTTCACCCACGACCGCTCCGCATGCCACTAACCCAACCCTCCACAATCCACCATTTGTCGCTACATGCACATCACGTTGCCGACCGCAGTATCAATATTTGTCCCACCAACACTTCTTTATTT